TTTAAAACGTTTTATCTCGAACCACAGATATATTATGTACGCATTCAGTGTGAATGTCGTAGGCGGGATATTTGGTGAACGAGCTAGTGTTATGGTCTGATTATGCATACTTCGCATAATTTCGCACAACTTCGCATAAACTTCAAACTGTAATTTCGTATGTACTTTGTATGTATTCCATTACCAAGAAATTAGCAGAACTTTTAACAACTTAGCGATCTGTTGAGTTTAGATTTTGCTTCACATTTTCTTAAGTTACATTATTATTGCACTGGTACAAATGGTTGTGCGAAGGTATGCGAAGTATGCATAATCAGACCTTTATTGTGATTAAGTACAAGTTGAAGAATGCAGCGGTGCTATCACTTCGAACATATCTTGGAAACCTCAAATTGTGTGTATTTTAGAGATTTTTTGTATCACATGCCGAAATTGTAAAATTTTTCCCCCAATTTAATTGAAAGTATGTACACAGTATGCTATTATACAAGGCCGTATTAATAAAGGAAGGCGGGGGGGGGGCGTTGTCAGAACACCTACATAAAAAAGAAGCACACCAATCTTCATGGACGAGCAAACGCGAAAACCTAAAAAAAAGATAGCTATGTAAAAGTTACTGCTTCAAAACTCGCTATATTCAATTTTTATAAATAAAATTTGCAAAAACTACTACACTGTGATAATGCTTTTTAATGTTATTAGGCTCTTTTTTATCCAAATTTTCAGATAATAATGAGAAAAATACAATTTGGAGGTTACTTGTTGTTGTAGATTTTTTTTAATTTATGGCTTACTTTGCAAGTGGACTTCTCATTTGTGCAATATTAAAAAAAAAAAATCAACAAACTTTCGTAGAAATTTCGAACTATAAAAAATCAATCGACATTTTTGTAGATATTTTGTTTTAAATTGCATAAATTTTTAAGGCAATGTCACTCGATTGGTACATTTGTACAGATTTGTAAATTTTTATATTAGGCTATTGGTAAAAAAAAATGGGAAAATTTTTTTGTAGTCAAAAGATTAGTACAATATTCGGAACACATCGAGATAACCAACCGTTCAGCTATGGGAAAACCAAAAATGCAGACCGATAGTACTTTTTACGCTGATCTCAACTATATAAATTTAATTTCCCGCAATTAAAAAGTAAATAAGATATTAAAGGTTAAATAAAATGTTTGGGATATTTTAAAATATTAATATTTTCTAAACTACGTAACCGATTAAAAAGATAATGATATCAAAATAAGGACAATTAGTCTGTCTTTAAGTTGATATATAAAATGTGTTTGCTTGATTATATATTTAAGCCAGGAATATTAAAAAACAAATAAAATGTTATAATTTTTTCATAAAATACCCTTTTTTAGAAAAAATGCATTACTAATGCTAAAAACATATATATTATTTAGGAAGTGCAAGTTCTTACCT